TGTTTTGTACTCTCGTCGACTTCAGTATCCCAAGAAATTCCTGTTTTCCATAGGTTCTGCAACAATACTTTAGGATACAAGAGAACAGGACTCACAATACCAATAGGATCAAATATTTTGTGTGTTACAGCGAGAATTGTTCTCTTCGTTATTATACCCATTTCAAAATCTTCTAGCCAATTCAGATTCAAAGTTAAATTATCTTTCTGAGAGTTCCATAACAGACCCAATACGGGTGAAATAGTTTCCTGTTTCAAGTTATCTCCGTTATGTAACCAACCTCGAAGATTAAACTTTCCTTCATTCATTATTTCTCGAGATTTTTCGATGAACTGGAATCATCTCGGATTCTTTGTCAAAACTGGCAACAACGTTATCTACGTAGAAGCTACGCAAGAGTTTAGCTATTATCTCCGTATCATATGAAGAATTTTTCATGTACTTTTGTAGATGGAATTCTATAACAGCTGCCAAAAGGAAAGGACTACTCTTAACCCCAAATACTACCCTAGTATGACGAAATATTTTCGTTTTCCTTTCTTCCACATCATTCCACCAGAAAAACCGAAGCCAGTCTCTATCTTGAGGCCTTACACTGATCTGTAAGAAAGCCTTTTCAATGTCTGCTATAGCAGCAAACTTGCCTTCCCGAAATCTCAACAAAAGAGATGGAATTAGTTCTATCAAATTTGGTCCACACTCCAAACACTGATTTAGAGAAGGAGACGATTGTTTCCTCGCAGACGCATCAAACACCGGTCGAATTGGTGTTGAGCTATTTTCTTTGATCACCGGTCTATGCGGTAAATAATGTCCATAGTCAACCGCAATATTTTCTTTAACTTCTTCGATCACTCCTAAGTTACACCAGTCATTAAAAACTGCATTGTATGAAGAAAATAAATTTTGAGATAAAAGTTTCTGGGTGGTAGATTGTAGACGTTTCAACGCTAAATCCTTGTGGGTGGAGAGTGGTACATGATTCTCCGCCCACGGAAGTGCGACTTCATAACGCCCTTCTTCGTTTAGAGATACAGAATTTTCGAATTGCAATTTTGCTTGCAAATCCCTTTCCTCTCTAGCCTTTTTTGTAACTGGATCTGTTATTCCGATAACATCAAGCCTCCACAGTTCTGACAAACCGGGCATCAGAAATATGTAAAGATAACGAAAGCGTGGAAAAGGAATTTTCTATTTCATAATTGTCAGTGTTCGCTTTCCCCATGACTGTCCACCCAAGTCTTGTACTTACAGCAACTAATCTTCCCCAAGGAAGAACTTCGATTTTACCTGTAAATAAATTTGCAGCAACATCTGCCCCTAACAACAAATGAATCTCTTGGGGGTTCTCCTGGAAATAATCTGCAATTTCCATTTTCAAAAACATCACTGACGTAAATTCCTCTTCTTCTAAGTTCCCTAATCCAGTGTATATTTTTGATTTTAGGGACCGAAGAACATATTTTTCTTTCATCCAATACATTGATTTCGCAATTATACCGTTTATCTACGCTACCCAATTTTATTCTATAACGTTTATGTTTTTCCGAAACTTCTATGCCACCGAAAAGTCCGTGGGTTACACTTTGTTCACCTAAGCTTCTTAATTGTAACCTTTCTGCTGCATACCTGCTTATGTATGAGTTTTGACTTCCGGTGTCAATTATCGCTCGAACAAATTGGTTATTCCCTCTTCCATATATGCGAACAATTAAAGTTTGCAAATATACTTCTGAACATCCTGCTTGATTTGAAAGTACTTTATTTTCTATCTGTTCGTCTTTTTTAATTTCCGAAACCTCGACAGAAGGATTTTTGTTATTACACATAATAGTTGCATGTTGTTTTTTACAAATAGAACAAGTTATTTTTGTTCTGCAGTTTTGAGCCAAATGGTGTAATTTTAGGCATTTATAGCAAGCACATTTTCTTTTTAAAATGTCCCTTTTTTCTTGTAATGATAAGCCGGAAACGAAACTACAGTCATAAGTCTTGTGGAAATTGATTACAGAAGACGCAGTTCATATTTTCCTCTCTGCATTCGGATTTTGTAAACAAATCTGTAGCGGTCGGAATCTTTGGTTTATTATGTCTATTTGAGAGACCATATGCGCTTTTCGTTGCAGGGGGGGAAGAAGACTGTCGCCGATCGGATACTTTTTGCTGTTGCGAAACCGTTGACCTTGTGCGTTCGCGGGATGAAAGTTCTGCGTGTAAAAATGACATTAAATCTTTTATGTTATAATCGGTGCCAACATTTTGTGTTCTATGAAATTCAAGCGTTAATTCTGAAGGCAATAACTTCAAAATCATCGGACACAGCAAAGCGCTGTAAGATTCCGATACAACATCTAACGCTTCGAGACATCTAATCTGTGTTTGTACTTTATCATACAAGTTACGAAATGTTTTTATGTCATTCGCATTTTTTAATGATTCAATATTCAGCAAATTATTCATGTGCGCATTAATAAGAATGTCTCTCCTTCCAAAACGGTCGTGTAAGATTTGAATTGCTGAATCATAATGTTTTGGCGATAACGGAAGTCCTTGAACGCAGCTAGCAGCTGTTCCTCCTAAATATGCTTTCAGGTAATTAAATTTGTCTACTTTGTTCAATGATTCGTTATTATGTATTGAGGACTCAAAACTATTCCAAAAAGTAAGCCATTGACTACTGTTCCCATAAAATACGGGAATCGAAAGTTTTGGTAATTTAACATTAGGTGTATCTTTTATATTTTGCTGTGTGTTCGGTGCATTTAAGTCATGATTAAGTTCCTTAATCCGTTTCTTAAGCCTGAATTTCCATAACGTTATCTTCTCGCGATATTGTTCTGTAATTTCGAATTTTCGAATTCATCTACACTCAGAATTGGTTCAACTTCCACATCGGCATTAGATAGCGTTTCGGTTTTAGCATTAAGCTGTTCTAACAATTCTTCGAGCTCATTAATACTACCTTCAGATTTATTTAATTCACTTTCGATTTTCTTAAATAGTTTTGTAACGGCAGTTCTTAAGATACTTCTTTTCTTTTTTAATTTATCTACTTCAGCCATTATCTTTCTTAGATTCAAACACTTACACAAAAAATATACGTCTCATGAAAAACAAATATTTAACTCTTACTTAGAAAACAAAATTATTCTTTTGCTGAATACTTCAAGAACAAGTATTAAAATCTTCAATTTTAATATTCAGCTTTTGAATTCACTTTATTAGAACTTTTCAAAAAACCTGGCGTCCCTGTTCGGGCGCGCCATAAAAATGTTGCATCAGGTTCTTCTATTTACAATAAAATTAATGTAAAATTCCTTACCTGCTGCATCTTCAGTGTTCTCGACGCCAGGCTTCTAATAATCACGTTTTCCAGTAAGAGTTTCTATTACAATTAGCAGGCCATCTTGTCTTTTAATTATTTATTGAAAGAAAACGCTAATATACACTATTTACAAGGTAGGTGATAATTATTTTAAGACAGTACATTTTTAGTTCTGAGTCTTTACGCTCCTCAGAGCGGTTCCAATCTCGACTGCTTCTCGGAACTTAATTACAGCAAAAGTAAAGGAAGAGATGCCCGCCACCTAGTGGCAAGAATGTGACAGCCTCGCTCCTATGAAAGCCCCAGTTGAAATTATTTCTAAACGTGTGAGCAATTTTTCGAAATTTTATAAAAAACACCTATAAAATGCATTTCTTACAAAAATTAAACTTGCTTATCAAGAATTAATCACATTTGTGTGAAACCTAAATAAACTTCTAATGATTTCGATGTTATATCATGCTTATCTATTACTGGCATTAAATCACTGTTTGGCAACAATGTATATGTGTTAACAGTATTACTAGCTGTATAACTGCAATACAAATGTCTCATTTATGAAATTTTTTTCTAAAATTCTGAAATAGCTCGGTATGAGTTTTTTTGGTTAGTTGAATACCGGATAGTCAGGCATTAACTGTTTTATTCATCATAAGCAGTCACTAATCGTCACTTCTTTGTTGAGATGGCCTTCCCTCATCTATGTTATCTTGCTGAAAAAGACAGTATTATTATTTTCCTAAAAATATGTCATGAAAGTAATAAATTTACATATTTTTACCTTTCACAATATTTGATTTATGAAAAGCTAAATACTGTATAAATCTGCCTATCTTGCATTCAGCTAATCAGAAAGCAGGGTTGCCTTGCTACCTGGAAAACCGTAAAAAGTCAAGGAATTAAGAAAATTGACCAAAACATTTAGGGAACTTCATGCTGCAATTCCCCAATAAGCGATTTTCGTGCCAACGTTGGAAGCAATCACTTTCTTGGTGAATCATATTGCGCGAGCATCATTCGGACAGCTGGCGAGAACCAGTTTTCTCAGTGCCAATCAGAATGTCTTTTAGAAACACAAAGCAAGTTTCGAGCATCTTTGGTTTCCAGTAGCCATGAGAATCCAGAAATTTGCATGTTCATCTGCAGCAAACAATATATATGGACATATGTATACATAAACATTCTTTGTCTGCAGTGCATGTTAAACAAAAGTAAATTTCCCCCCCCCCATTTTTGTATAAAAAATTTTTTTAAATCTTTTCTTCTTTCTTAAATATCTTATTTATCATTTTGCAGTAAAATAAAAATAATAATAATCAGTCTTTTAGGCTAACCTTTTAATATGTATATATCATTATACTAGATTTAAACTTCTAGAAAAATCTCATATCCGTAATCGCCAAAGTCGTGACGAGTTGGGATCTCCAGGCTTTGTACTGGCTTGGTTGGATATTAGATCATTCCGAATATTAGATGTCCAAATTTCAGGCACTGTACTGCATTTATAATCAAAACTATTTGTAATCATATCTTTTATAAAACATAATAATAAAAAATATATAAAAATTATAATATTTTATAAAACATAATTATAACATAATCATAACTTTTTAACTTATCCTATCATATTTCACTGAGTTTGAAATGATTAAATAGATTAAATTGCATTCTGTAGGCATAAACAGAGTCAAGCACCTAGAAAGAAATACTCATTATTTCCGCAGAAAATTGAAACAAAAAGGTTTTATTATATATGGAAATGAAGACTCCCCAGTGGTGCCTCTTATGCTGTTTTTTCCATCCAAAGTAACGTAAGGATGCTAATTTATTTTTACATTTTATATCTGTAATGATGAAACTGTATGTGAATATTGTGTGAATCTTATCAATCTTGTGAAACTACAGTAATCCTCATCAAAACGTATCAATAATAAAAAAATAATAATTATTAAAAAAAAATCTGAAAGGTTTCAGATGTTAAATTATGTCCATAGGGGCGTTTATTTAATATTTTGTATGTTACCTTTATTAATTAAATATCATGTTCCTCGCACTTAAACCATAAAATTTGGTTCAAGAGCAATATCGCAAAATAATTTTAAATTGAGCACATCTTTAGAATTTCCAATATGCAGTCTCACACGCTGTAGATAAAAAAAAAATTTTCTGTACAACTCTGCCATTTCTCGATTTGAAATCAAAAATTCATTAGTTTTATAAAATAAGGAAATCGATAATAAAACAGATTTCAAATTTAGGATTTCAGATCCCCATATTCGCAGTAGGATTACGTCATTCAAAATTTGATGGTTTTAGTACCGTTGCTTTATCAGAATGCAAGAAACATACATACATTTATGCAGATTCTTCATTATTTAATTTCTTCAAATATGATACAGGGCGATAATCTTTGGTGACAACAGTTTGAATAGTGATACAGTGTTTATATTGTTTTGATGCAAAATCGAAAAACAAAAACAATAGTCTTTCAGGGACAAAGCCCCTTTGGAATAATAATAATAAAACAAATAAAAAAGTATTAAAATAATAATAAAAATAATAAATAAATAATAAAATAATTAAAAAATTTATCAATAATGATACATTAAAACGAAAACTTATAAATTACAAACTTCCTTTCCTGACTGTTGTTCGACTTCTAAATTAATACCCCTTTTCTGACTTTTTATTTCTTGCATTCAAGGAGTATTCACAAAGTTAATTTATAAAATAATACTGCTTAAATAATATATATGTATGTAATGAAGCAGAACATGTGTAAGATAAAAATATGTAAATATAAGTTCTAATATAAATTACCAATAACCCATAATGCTTAGTTTTAATTTGGTCTTTCTCCTTTCTATCTTGAAAATAGTAATCTTTTTCTTCGCTAAGTCCTTTAGAGACTAATCCATGTCATATGACTCTTACATAATGCTGCTGATGTAAATGGAACTAAAGCAGCCAATGATAATTTTACAGTGTTAGTAATTATTCACTCAAGTACATTAGGAACTGAAACTGATTCTGAAATAAGATTTCATCCTGACCACAAGTCTCTTGCTTTATCCACTTTGGCCTAGCTGAACTGTTGCTTGCTGCTGTCTTCTTACTGCTCAGCTATAAAAAATATAAGCATTTTGAAATAGACAGAGTAGTGTGCCAAGATGCTCCTTTCTATGCTTTCTGTGTTTCTCCTACAATATTGCGTCTAATTTCTGCTTCATCACATGTATATACAGTTTCTTGGAAAGTTGCACTAAAAGCAATATATGTGTTTAACTTGCATAAAGTTTTACAGAACGTATTATGTGTATAACTTAGGGGGTGTTACTGTATGTAACTGTTCCTTTTTATTGTGTGTACGAGTTTCGTTGAATGTGGTCATTCACATTTGCTCTCATAAGCATGCTGGTGTCCATACACTAAAAACAATTAGTGATAATTTATAGTTGTGTTGTATTAGACTAAACATGTAAAATATTATGTGTAACACCACTCTCTTCCATCTTCAGGATGTCCCCTAACTATTGGTAACTGATCATCAAAATTTTTTAGAATTGCACAGTAACCCATGCCTGCAAACGTCATCGTACGCTGCTAGATGGTACTGTTCACAGTGCTTGGACTGGTTTAGTCGGCAAATTGTTTAGTGGGGGCTTGCCTGTTGCTTTCACTTATGATTTCAGCAAGATTGATTGATATAAAGATTTTAGTTTGTAAATTTTAATAATATTGGCTGAAGTGATGAACATTATGTAAGAATAATATAGCATGGATTAATAATTTTAAAGCGAGATTTATTCTAATGTTATTATTTTTAGAATAGAAAGGGAAAATAACCAAATTATAAAAGACACAAAGAGGGCTCATTGCAAATTAAAATTTTGTCTTATTTATAAATTTGTCATATTATAAAAGCCAGTTGAGTTGGATTTTATTGTATGCATAAATCATCATGCATTTTTAAAAATTTTTCAAACATATTTTTCAGATATTAAATAATTTATTTATAATTTAGAATGAAGTAACTTGTGTGATAGTTTATTAATGGTCTTAACAAACTTGTAACTAAGGAAGACTTTTAGGCATTTTGTTGTGGGCAAGGATTGCTTTGTATTACAAAGTATAAACTTTTCATACTTCGTATGCAATAACTAGTTCAAGGAATAAGAAACGAGTTAGAAGAATCTTTTTCTTCTCAATTTTATATCCTTTCTTTTTCATTTCTGTGCATTTAAAAAACTGCTGTTTTATGTATCAAAGTTCATGCATTGGGAAAAAAAAAATTCTTTCTGTGTAGAGAATTCATTCAGGGGCTTCTAATGCAAGGTGTAGCCACCGTTGGTGTGTGTTATCCGGCCACTACTGTAGTGACTTCCCGAGCACGCTTCTGTATTTCTGCTTCTCATACCAAAGAAATGCTTGATAAAGTAAGATAATTTTCTTGAATGTTGTATTTGTTACCATTTTATTGTTCACTTATCTGAAATTTTCATATCTCCAGAATTTGACATTTCCTGAGCATTTAGTTAAGCTTTTACTGTATTATTGTTTTAAATGTTTTATAATTCTGCATTTTCTTCTTTATTTTTCGATGTTATTTTATCTTGCTGTAAATTATTTAAAACTGTGTAACAGTTAAAGTTGTTTTAATTCTGAAATAAATAGATCTGAAAAATTGATTGTCAGTAAAAGTGAAAAAAAAATTTTTTTTTCTTTAAAACGGTTTTCAACGAGACAGATTTCTTAGTGTCATAATTCGTATCTTTTGGGGGGGAGATCAGTAGTTTTTTGTTTACGCGTTAAGTAAACTGCTGGCCATGCATAATGCAACAACATGAAAGAAGCAATCAAACTGCAGGAAACTTGCATCATGTGTCTGCCACGATGGAATAGGTAAATGATTGTGATTTTGGTGTACACGCACATCATAGGTGATTGCAGCACTCCTTACAATCCATATATAAAGAAAGGAAAGAGTACAGTTTTGAATTACATGAAATTTTCTCTAATGAAATTTTTTGTGCAGCTTCAGTGTGCCTCATAGGAAAACATGAGCATCATTTGAGCATGTTCCTGAGTTAGAATGAGACAGAACATGCAGATATTGCAGATTATCCGTCTAGAAAATTGATCATCCTATAGGATATAGCCAAACAAAAGTCGTGCAAATGTGGAATCGATGAATGCAGTAGGAAACAGTTGATGGAGAGGGGCAGCGTAACCGCATCATCGCTCTACTCTACAGGAAGAGGTGCATATAATACCCTGATGGAGCAAAGTGCCACAGCTGCAACCCTATCATAACAAATGCTGTCTGTAACAAACAACTGGTGTCTGCATACACAGAATGATGTCGTTTACAGAACAATGGACTGTCAACTAGGTGTCAATTTCTTCGATTACTTTTCACTTTGAACCTCAGGAGTTTCCGTTTACAGTGATGCTCTGAACGACAGAGATGGACATCCATCAGACGAAACACTTTTGCCTACAGTACCACAATGGTTGGATTAGAGTTGGAGACACTGAAGGGACTTTATACATCATCATACTGGTTCTGTACCCTGTATTATGCTGTTGCATGGTATTGCATTCCAGTCCCACACCTCCTAGCACTCATTATCAATACATTTACCCGCCAGCACTATATAGCTGAGATTTTGCAGTCTGTTCTCCTTCCTTACTTTCAGGTCGTGCGCATGACCACATGTTGCATACAATGTTCAAGCTTTGCTCTTAGCCCACCGTACTGTGTTGTTATCCTTGCCCGTCCATTGTCCAGATTTAACAATAATCAAACTTGTCTGGTCTCATGACTGAAAAAAGTTAGCTCTTCATGCCACACCCATGAGGGTACACCAGATGGACTTTAGCTACATGTGGACCAACATAGACTGCCATTTCCCATCAACAACGATGCCCGCAGTATTGAGAGAAGTCTTTCTTCCAATACTGACAAACTTGGAAGCAACACTCATTCCTGATTTTCTCATCTTCCTCTCTTCAAAGAAGGCTATATTTCAAATTAGTTAACATCAATACTATGTGTAATCCCTTAAATAAATTTGGCTGCGATATGTCTTGTCCTTCTTCATGTTGCATTTTGGATGGCCAGCAGTGTATGTACTTTCAATTCATAAATATAAGAAAACTACTTTTCATGTTTTGGTATTTAGAAATATTTTCTGTAATTCTTGTTTAATTTATAAAACAATTAAAAAATAATCTAAATTTAAATAAATGCGTATGTCATAGCTAACAACTCAGGGTTGCCACGCTACCTGGAAAACCGGAAAAAGTCAGGGAATTCGGAAATTGACCAAAAAAATTCAGGGAAAAGTCAGGGAATTTCATACAACGATCCCACCAAAAAAGGCGAGTTTTGCACCGATGTCGGAAGAGATCACTTTTTTGGCGAATTGTGTATCACGCGAGTGTCATTTGGCAGCTGGTATAGAGGCAATTTTCGCAGCTCCAATCTGATTGTCTTTTTAGAAAGGCAAAGCAAGTTTCCCGCAACTTTTGGTTTCCAGTAACCTCGTGAATCGCATGTGCAGTGCATGAACTAAAGAAAGTACCTGTTCTCATATAAAACAAAATGGGTTTAATCCTAGTATACGGTACCAAGAAGGTTAGAATAAAAAAATATGTATTGTAAAGAAGGAAAACCTCTCTGCAACAGACATTTCTCCGTTCCATCACAGCGGGGAAATAGCTGTGCATGCGCGATATATCTGTCGCCAAAGCTCGAAACCGGTGTCGAAGTTCGAAGGTCACGTTATCAAGAGTTCATAAAATGAATATCGTTTAAAATTTCTTTAAACTCTAAAGGAAAAGAAAATATTTTTTGGCGCAAGTAACTTAATTCATGGATTAGTTATTTTGAGGGGGGGAATCTACGAAAATCCGTTTTTAAAATTATTGCGAACTTTCTTTGATAAAACGTTTCTTCTTGGATTTTTCGCAATAATTTAAAAATGGATTTTCGTAGTTTTCTTTTTTGTCTAAGAACATTTCTTCTTAACACGTGTTTCTCAATTTCCTGTACACATCGCGAAGAGGGAAATTCTGGCCGCCAGGTTCCGTTGCCAAATCCCTTGGCAAATTTTCCCTCCGCTTTTTACATAGACGTTCTTTGGTTAGAATAATCGCCATGTATAATACAGCGGGATTTGGCGACATGATGATGAACAGTAAACGGGTCATTTTGTTCTTGGCGACAATTTTCAAAATCATGCGAAGGCCGTATCGTATACTAGGATTTTACCGTAAAATCTTTTTTTTTTTTTTTTTTTTTTTTTTTTTTTTTTTTGTTGTAATACATACCTTGTCATTTTGCAGTAAAAGGATAACCATGTAATATAACTATATTCATTAAAATATCGTTGATTATTCTAATTAAATTTTTAAGTAATTATCTTTATTTTTATGTTATTCATATCATTTAACGTTGCTTCTTCCCTCTAAATTTATTTATCATTAGTAAATAATATTTCCAAATTTCAGGAAATTTTCTCTGTCATAATCCTGAAATTAATTCTAGCAGTATGATGACATCACAAAATTTAATACACATATTTTTTTCCTTATGTATGCTGCGAAATAAATATAAAATACCTCAATTTAGTAAAAAAATATCATTAAATAGATTTCTTTCTTTCGTTTAGCTGCAGAATGTCTGCAAAAAAAGGCCTTATTTTATTCCAGATTGGGCAGATTCTAATCTCAATCTTCAGTGGAGAAAACAACTTCTATTATAATAATATTTGTGTTTTCAAGTGTTAAGGTGCCTTTTAAGAATACACCTCACACAAATTAAATTTACCTAAAATCTAACCTAACTTTTAGCATTGCGTTGTGATTTTTAAGAACCGGATTAGCCTCATGTTGAACTGGGGATGATCATGAGTAATAATTAAATAAAACGTACAGTTGTTATCCAATGTATATATTGTAAATTTTATTAAGTTTTTTAAGTGGAAAAGTAAACAAAATTATCAAACAAAGTGTACCAAGAATAATTAAGAATAAATGTCCTCTGGGATTTATTGAATAATTAAGTGAATTTGCTACACAGTACAAGTAATACCATAATTAATTTACCTCTTAGCACAGCCAATGTACATTACGCGGATAGACTGGAATTTTCTTGAAACATACCTGGAAAAGTCAGGGAATTTCATTCTCCTGTTTGAGTGGCAACCCTGACAACTCTTCTGGTTGTATCTCCTGGTAAATCACCAACCATATCTGCCTTTTTTTAAATCTTAAGTCTTTTCAAAAGAAAATGTTTTTCAGCAGTAAATAAAATTTTTTGAATTAATTAAACTTAAATTAAGCAAATTACATTCACCTGCCTCTAGTGATTTTCAGAATAATTTTTCATGTTAAATTTCATTCAATCCAAGTTGTCTTAATCTACTATAGACATTTGTAGATTTTTATATAAAGATGTAAGCAATGTTTATTCAGCTAATAATTGTATTTAATTTTATTTTACTTCAATGTATGGTAATAAATATGCTCTACATATTAATTATTAGTTTCACTTCCATCATATTTAAAAATACTTTTATAAATAAAGTTTCGATATTCAGTATTTTCTCAGTAGAAAATTGTAAGAAAATTAAAAAAGGAAATTAACCAAAGGTTATAAAATCTGGAATGTGTAATTGAATGCTAATGTATTTTGCATCAGAACTGTGTTACAAATAGTTCAGTAACTGGAATCATGTATTATAGAGTGAATTAAAGTCAGTTTGGAGTTAGGTTTGAAATAATGTTGCTGAGGATGAAAAACCTTCTTATTTCTCCCCACTTTTAAGATCTGAACGTTAGTAGCTATGATATGTACTTTTTAAGTTTTAAAAAAACTGGAAGGGATGATCGTTTAGCAGCCAGCCGTGAAAGGGGTGCATGGGGCAAGAAAGATTGAGAATCATTGCTATGAAAGTATCAATATTTTCATAATTCTAAAATATTAATTTTTTTCAGGCATTAACGGTGATAGACACTGTCGGTCAAAGAATCATGGTAAATTATTCAAAAAAACAAAGATCTCAAGAAGAAGTAATATACTAGTCAATCTCATAAGTCCTTGAACAAGTGCCTTAGAGCTGCAGGATTGTGGTCCACTAACAAGGCCTACTTGTGATTGTAACATTTCATGATCATCAGCGGAATTTAGGATCATTTATTGGCATTATAATATATCAACAGTGAGGTGATTACCACAGGCACTCTCAAGTTGTTCTGAAGAAGGTGTAAGAAATGGATTGGGATTTTATACCATTTGTTAAAGCACAAACTACCCAATTAAGGTTTTTGTACTAAAATCAGCTGTTAAATGTAGAACACACCTGTATACAATAATTGACTGTATTGAAGATGTAGAAGATGGTTATTATGAAGTATCCGTGCATTGAAGTTTCATTAAGGTCACTCTTACATTTATTTATTGCTATCGATGTATGTGCATTTAGCATATCGCCTAGTCAGTGTAGAAAGACCCTGCTTTGAAACTCTTAAACATTCCGACATGGACACTCGGAGGTCTAATACGATGTCTGTGCTGTGTTTTGATTACTGCTGTTTTGTTTTGTTTGTGGGTGTTTTCATTTCAGCTAATTAAGCAGCTGCTCAAGTCCTTGCATGGATGATTCTTCCTACTTATGGTCTTGTTTATGAATCGTGAATTATACATATTTTAACAAAATGGGCAAATTGTTTGTTCATAACAGCAAGTTGTGCAAAAAAAAAAAAAAAAAAAAAAAAAAAAAAAAAAATGCTGTAATCTAATCCATGAATGAAACAAAACAGCTTTTTGAAAATTGTTTTGTAAACTTCGTATAACCTTGAAAAATAGTATTTAAAAATTGACTTTGCTTCTTTTAAGGCTCTTTATTGTATTTGGATCCACCATGAAAGAATGTAAAGATTTTTTTGTATTGAGTTTTATTATTTATTATAATTGAAATCAAATTATTTATTTTCAGCTGTAATTTATTGTCGACTTTGAGATAAAAGAAATGGCCATTAGTATGAACTGTAATTACTGTAAATTTTGTAATATGTTATTAATTGTATGAGATGGGAAACAACTTTTTCTTACAATTTTTAATGTTACCTTTTAAATATTATTTCCTCATGAATTTTGACGCTGAACTATTTTTTAGATTTTGTTTGTTACATTGACTATTTTCTATATTTATTTAAGTTATTCAGATCTTAGCAAAGGAGGAAGACATGCAAAAAAGGGGAATGAATACTTGTGTTGCGATTGTAATTTATGTCTTGAGCCATGGAATGCTTTATTTTGAGTTTAATTTTGGGAGTTCGAAGAGTTTAAATTGTCATGAATGTCTACCCAAATTAGACGTTAATGGTTGAAAAATTATTTTTATTGTGTATTTGAAGACGTGAATGGCAGTATTTTATATACAGTATACAGTCTAACATCTGGATATTCAGTATCTGTCCTGTCAGTCTAATAAGTAGACAAATATATAAATAAAATTAAAATGACAAGAAAAAGTCTCCATCCTGCTTACAAAGTATAAAATTGAAGAAATATAATATTTGACAAAAGACAGCAGGTATGCCATAAATGTGATTTTTCTCCATGCTAAGTTATGGTTTCCCTAATATCATTTTCAAGCACCTGCTAGCTAGGACTCCATGTCGTGGACAATGAATTGATTGGTGTATTGATGATGGCCAGAATTACATTTTTGTCCTTTGAGTGGATGTGAGGAACTTAGCATTTTCTAGCTGACCTAAATAAGTGAAGCCCTAATGTTGGCTTGTCTATCTGTCATTTTACTACATTAAAATGATGATTTAAACCAGAATTGCAAAGTTCCAACAGTTCTGGATCTTGGACTTTATACTGTATATGTATTTTATGATGTAGGAGAAATACAATGAACGTGGGACTAATGTGTATAATCAAGAAAAATTTATGCTTAAAGTTAAATTGAAATCTGAAAACTATTATGATAAATATTCCATTTTACTGCATTAAAAATACTTTTAAAAAACATGACTTTTTTAAACAACTATCTAAATTTATACTTGTATAAAAGTGTTTAAAATATAAAAAATAATTGACTAGCATGTCATAAATACAGTAAATATCTTTAAATATTTATTTGGAAAAGAAAAATTCACAAAATGAGTTTTCCAGTCTTTAATCAATTGGTTTTTATGAATATTCTGTATATTTTTTTTTTTTAGTTCATATTTTTGGCTTCCTATAACTTGTCTTCCAGAGTAAAATTAAAGAATTTTTGCTTAAACTGTATTTTTTATTATTAGTTAATTTTAATTATTATTATTGAATGAATTTTTAACAAGTGTGTGTGCAATTTTTGTAGTTTAACATTTTGTTGGTATTATCTTTTGCGAGCTATCCAAGCATTATGTTACGCAGCTTTATAAACATGTATAATTGTTTATAACTTAATATTTTGTTTGTTGATGTATATTACTGTTTAGGCAATTTTTTCTGCAGCTTTTTAAAACAATTTATTGCAGCTAAGTAAATGTGTTACAAAATTTCTTCCAGTTTCATCCTAGTAAAGTGATTACAAACTCGAAAGTCTGACTATAGTGTTTTAATGACGGATTAAAGTAATGCAGCATCTGATTATGGTAATTATGCAGCATCTGATCAAATTGTTAACATGAAGTGTGTCATCCAGAAAAAAAAATGAGAAAACACTTGTGATACACTATAAACTAGATTTTTTATATGGAAAATCATTAAATTTTTAATTAATTAATTAGATTATTAGAATTTTGATAAAGATGGATGTTATTTAAATAATATATTGCTTGTCAAAAACTAAGCTTCATGTTATGAATAATTGAGTTTTTGTTATACATTTTTATAAATGGTATCTAAGCTTAAAGTGCCAACAATGTAAATTTATTAAAAACTATAATTTTAATAACTATAATAATATCTAAATTTGCGCCAACATTTAGTACAACTTGTAATTATAGTAGTCCTGGTTGCCTGTGTTTAGAAAGACTTGTCTGGTGTTTTCTCCTTTAATATATTAAAACAGCTGCATGTCCTCAAACAAGAACAGAAAAGTTAATTTCACAGGCCCAAGAAAATGAAGGATCAAATCCTCGAGATTATCTGCCTAATAGAAAAAATAATCAGTTTAATCATAAATGATTTTATATAGACTCCTAAGTTAGATATTTTTTAGAGAAAAACTTAGTTTCTTAGATTCCTACTAAAAAGGGATAGTTACTTCTAATGCTGTAATAATAATAATATTATTATAACAATTATTATAACAGCTGTTATAATAATAATTTATAAAAAAAAGTGCAATGGAATATGTGTATGTCAAGTTATAATTTAGAAATTGAGCTCAAAAACTAGAAATGTTTCCACGTACCCTTGCCAAAGGTATTAAAATTTCTAGATTTAGTGAAAAGCATTATTAAAGAACTTGCCTGAACATACAAGTAATAATTTCATATTATTCGCTTAATTCCCGAGCTTTTTGCCTAATTCTGTATTCATATATAATAATCAGTTTAATCATGAAAGAGGCAGATTTTTGTTATGATTTCCTTCTTTTTTTCTGATTAACCCAAACAAGATATTTGAAACTTTTAAGTGATGAGCATGAGGCTGGGAAAAAAGTATGATTACTTCTACTTTTAGCAGTTTCTACTTTACTGTTGAGTTCATCCTCACAACAATGGAGTATAAAGTGAGGAGAGGAGGATTTTCAAAGGCAGTGAGCGAACTTTCAGCATATTGCAGACCAGTTAAGCTTATTTCAGATTTCATAGCAGAAGGGTTAGAACAAATAGTAAAATTATATGAATTTTGGAAATAAATATTTGAAAATGATAAAAAAAAATTCAAGACTAATCTTAAGAAATGAAAATAAAATAGAATTCAAGTTTGAACTACGAAATTTAATTCTTTCATATGCAATATAAGCCTTATATGTATCAAATTAAAAAATGCCAATATATTCTAACCTACTTGGTATAACCAATCCAGTGTTGAAAATTCAGGATGAATTCTGGCAATAATATTACAGTAGTTAATTTAGTATACCTGAACATTTCAGCTATCTGCTAACCATTTCACCATTTTCCCCCGAGACAGACTTGTCGATTTGAAAAGATCAGATGCTGGCAATAGCATACACTTATCGGAGTTAAATTAGACCTCCTCTGACATTACCTCTAACACAGATTTGTCCTTTTATATTTTCTAATCCCCTAGAATGTGGCAAAAATAAAAAGAAGTGACTGTTTTCTTAATTGTTCATGCACTGCGGACAACAGGGCCATATTATGATCATGCAAACAAGTTCAATTAAAAAAACAGGAAACAGTAATGCACTAATTGCTCATTTGAAAGCATGGCTTTGTTAATTTTCAGGAACATAAAAGAATAGAAGGACACACAAGGGAACATAATTTTTTTCCTTCTTAGGGTGACATTTTTCAGTGTCTTTGACTGTAACATGGAGGCAGTTGGTATTGATTTGGCACTAATTTTTAAATAAGTCTTGACTGGTAATGAAAGAAATATATCTTTGGAGGACAAAAAAATAAGCAAATACTTGAGCTTTGTAGGATTGTCAAGTGGAAGGATGCTTTCATGGATCAATAGTGCATTTCTTTGTTGGTGAACTTATGTTGTTAAAAAGATTTTTGGTGAGATCCTTTTATTAAGTTCATAATATATATAATTAAAAACTTTATAGATATATATAAACTAAAAATGAGGGTCTCTGTATGTTCTGTTTCCCTTTCTCCCAAAGCAAACTTCTTAATATTTTTTTTTGCTTGATCTGAATTTTGAATATTGTTCTGAATCTTCCAATTGTATTTAAAAAAAAAGATTTTGAGAGTTTTGGATAAAACATTTTAACTCCCCTTTAAAATCTCCATGCTGTCTTCCTTAAATTAAAGTTTAGAATTCTAGCTCACTAAATTTTGTCTGTCTATGTGTGCTTCCATCTTGCATATAAAAGCAAATAGTAGTTTCTAAATAATTTTACAACTCATCATTGTAAAATTTGTTGCTTTTGTGGTAAATGTTTGTAACTTTTTTATTGTGTTTCAAATTATTTTTCATAGAAACGTTATATAAGTTGATATTGTGTTTTAAAATACATAATCTAAAATTCTCCAGAAGTTATTGTTAATATTTAGTTTATAATTTGTAAAATGGTGAAAGTAATTAAGTTTGTAATTCTGCAATGAAATTTTATAAAATTTCTAAATCAAGGATTTGGAATGAATGCAATAATTTTGTTCATTTTTTTCTTTTACACTTTAAAATCTGTAAACTAGCCAAAAAGTAGTTTTTTAAAAAATTAGGTGAATTTTATTGCTGAATAAATAATTTTATTTTCACACAATATAAAATAATTGTATTTCTTTATTATAATACCATTTGACAAAAAAAAAATTAAAACATCTTCAGATTAATTATGTGTTTCATTTTTTTATTTGTGTTTTTAGAGGTGAATTTAGTTTAAAATTTTTTCCTGCGTAACCTTATGTTTTTAAATTTTCTTTGTATTTTATATTTTTGTTTTACAAATAATTTGCTTTGAAATATTCCACCAAATTGAAATTTCTGGTATATATATATATACAACATTCTCATGTCAAAATACTGCAAGAAAAGTAAGAATGTATTATTGATAATATTTTTCTCATATAAATTTGAAACTGGTTATCTAAATTCTCATGTAGGAAAAGCTACATAGCAATATCTATTTTAATATACGATTTATCAACTATCCA